CTAATGGCAATGGCAATGATCTATAGGGTTGACACTTTACGGCCATGCATCCCGATCCTGTCTCAAGAATGCCATCGAGAATTAACTCTTATCCTCTCATTGCGGCCACACAATAACATTCTCATAGTTGGGCATCTCCAAGAGTGCATTGCTAACACTCTGCTATTAAAGCTCAATCCCATTCAGAGTCTTAAACTCTTACTAACTTAGCAATTTCAGCATCATTAAGGTTTTTCTAGGAATAGAACTCATAAAATTATTTTAATGAGATGCACAATTCACTATACAGTTTGTTTATACCACATTGAACCTACTTTATGGGATCTCCACTCAGATAAGTTGGGTTGCCACCGTAGATGAGTAATTATTGGGTTTCAGTCCCATTCCTAACATTGATTTTATCACTTGATTTAAATCAACTCCTTTTATTAAAGGGTCTGCTGTATTATCTTTGGATCCGACAAAATAAACAACAAACACTCCTTGAGACACAAATTTCCTTATAGTTTTTAATCTAACTTGAATGTGTCTCCTAGTCTTTTGATATACTTCGTACTCCTAATTTTTACAATTGTAATCATACTATCACAATGCAAACAAATAGGTGAAATTGGTTTGCTGAATATAGGTAACTCGGACATTAGTCCCATAAACCATTCAGCCATAATTCATGTAGTATCCAACGCACATAATTCAGCCTCAAAAGTAGACCAAGAAAGTACAATTTGTTTAGTGGACTTCGAGGCAACAGCCCCACCACCAAATGTAAACACATAGCCAGTACACCCATAACTCCCGGAGTCCTTAGCTATCCAACTTGCATCACTATATCCTTCAAGAACAGGAGGATATTTACCATAATGCAAACACAAGGAAACAGTTCCTTTCAAGTATCTAAATTTTTAAAAGAAATGTATCAAACTTCATAACTTTTTATAAGTTTCTATATGACACCAATATTGCATATATAAAAATGAAAAATGTTATTTTTATATAATAAAATTGAATTAGAAATCAATGATGTGTCAGTCTCTTATTAGTTCATAAAAATTATGTTATCACTACTACTAAATCATTTAATTAATCCAAGTTCACTTGGTGCATCACTACTATTCACTCGGTGCACCACTCCTATTTATTTTAATCAAGCCAACTGATTTGGAGAAAACGGTGAGAAAGAATCTTTTTTGAAGTTCTCTAAATTTTTTGTACTGCAATTTTTACAAAAATATATCATAACTTATAATTTTTTATGATCTTTAATATGACACCAATATTATATATATATAAAATAAACATAGTCAATAGTAAAAATTGAGTTATAAATCAATGATATATCAAATCTATAGTAAAAATTGAGTTTTTTTTGAACGAAGTAAAAATTGAGTTATAAACCAATGATATAACTTCTTTAAATTATTAATTGTAAAAATATTGAATACTGAAAAACTAAACTTTAAATCCGCCACCGGAAACATTCATACTGCAGGATCATACCATACTAGAATAGATCATAAAACATCAGATCATATTAGACCAGAGTTTAAAATCATAAATATGCATATCAAATTAAATGAATAGAACAACTACTTAATATCAACTATATTAATGGAGTAGAATTCTCAGAATAAATATGATATCAATTCAATTTCTAAAAAAATTGTACAACATAAAAAAAAAAGGTAATGAGACTCTAATCATACAAAAATCAATCTCACAAATTTGAGTGTGGCTCTAATCCACAACCAAATTTTTTAAATAATGAAACGTTAGTTTACGTGAGCGGGACTCTAAAAGTATTACACCAATAATGCATGTAATAACTACCTAAAACAATATAAACTCCGCATACTCGCAATTCCAATTCCATACTTCTTATTATCATCATCACTCATCATATAATCAACCCTATAAATAATTAATATTCCCCAACTAAAACAACAATTAGCATATAAACAATAATATAACCACAAATTCATACTCCAAAAGATGACGATTCCTCACCGTCTTCCATGATGATGGTTAGTTCATAAAAAATCGATTATAGCCAAACTTTTGATCGTATCATATAATTAATTCAAAATATTTATTGGTATTTCTGTCAAATTCACACTACCGGGGCATGCCCCGGGTGCTACACTAGTAACAACAACAACAACAACAACAACAACAATAATAATAATAATAATAATAATAATTGGTCATATTTTGTTTTATTTGGTCCAACCTGTCAAATATTTGGTCCAACAGGCGCAATATTCAATTTGGTCATATTTTGTTTTATTTGGTTCCCTTTTAAACGTTTGTTATCTATTTGAATAGATCATATAAACGTCAAATAAACTCTGCTTACTCTGAAAACGCTATATTTTCATAAAACTGGCTACATATTTGGTCTGATCATGTCTTGTTGTATGTTCTTCTGTGCCGAGCGTTTTATATCTCGTTGGAAAGATCTATTGGATTTCTAAAACTTGTTTTCAGACTGTATTCACAATATATTAATAAAATATAATATATTTGATTTATTTAACTTCATTCACAATAACATCAAATTCAAAAACATTATCGAGTTCACTCCAAAGTCGTGTAGTATTTGATTTAAGGGAAAAATAATGAAAATACCCCAAACTTTGAAGTGGTGTGAGATGAACACCCCAAACTTGCACATGTAATTTAAATACCCCGAACTTTATATAAAAAGTTATTTAAACACCATAGTTAAATATTATTTCTTTCAAACATTTAAATTTATGATGTTAACTGTAGAATTTATAATATTTTAGAATTTTTGAAGACACAATTAACATTTTAACTTCCATTGTGAAATAAATAATGTTACCCCCAATTCATATAATTGCAACACTTTTAATTTGCTATTTCAAATTATGCAATTAACTCCATAATTTTAAATTTTTGAAAGAAATAATACATGGCAATGGTGTGAAAATAATTTTTTATATAAAATTTGAGGTATTTAAATTACATATACAAGTTTGGGGTGCTTACCTCATACCCCTTCAAAGTTTGGGGTATTTTTCTTGTTTTTCCCTTGATTTAATCATGCATTGCTGTATTCCGTACCGTTCCAAGCGTATTATAGCTTGCTAGAAAGATCTTGTCGAGTTCTAATACTCTTATTAGGACTTTGTTTACAAATTAGTAAAGCATTGGCACGTAATACATAGAAATTAAAATCATTGACGAGTTGGCTCCGAACAGGTATAGTATTTGATTTAATTATATGTTGTTGTATTTTATTCCATTTCAACCGTTATATAGCTCGTTGGCATGATCTTATTGCGTTCCAAAACAAGTATTCAGACTTCATTTAGAAAATTTTAAAGTATAGGTACTTATGACACTGAATTTAAAACTTATTGTCGAGTTGACTCTGAACAGATGTAGTATTATTGAACTTGATCATATGTTGTTATATTTTGTTTCGTTTAGAGCGTTTTATATACTGATGGGAAGATCTTATCAAGGTCTAAAACTCATATTTAGGCTTCATTATCAAAATACTACAGAACTTGGATCTGTGAAACACCACAAGCGCCGCAGCACACCAAATACAGAACTTGTCCAAAATACGTACTATAAGTAGTGAGTTTAGTAAAACATTTACCAAAAATTTAGAATTCAAAAAAAATTATATTGCAGTGGAGTTTCAAAATAAGTTAATTGGACTGAAACTTTCTGATCTAGTCTGGTGTGATTTGGTCAGGTCTGGTCAGGTCTGTTCTAAATTGATCTGATTTTGTCTAGTAAATGTCTAGTTTCTGTGTATTTTATACTTCCTCCGTCTCTTATAACTTTGACAATTTTCCTTTTTGGATGTCCGACTAACTTTGTCATTTTCCCTTTTAAGTAAAGAATTTGTGGCTCCATTTCATTCTCTCTCCTCTAGTTTAGTCTGGTTTGGTATGACCTGTTTAAGTCTGGTCTCATTTGTTTAAGTCTTCTTTGGTCTGGTTAGGATTGAAATAATTCCAATTAAAAACATCTTTAGTCTCTCTTGAGACATGTGGTTTTTTCCTGGTTAGATCTCTGTGCCTTTACTTTTCTGTCACTGTATATATCTATCGCTAAAACTACGTGAAAAATTATCATAATTCTACACACAATTCACCCACGGTGTGATTCAACCAAATCATCACCTAACGAAAACAAGACCTTAAATAACAAAATAACATGAGAAAGTTGTAAATATGAAGAAACAGAATAGTGTAAAAAAGCGGAATACTTCCGGTATACATAAATGGAAGTGTTAAATGCATTGATTAGCTTGGCATTGTTAAAAGCGGAATACTTTCCTCTGAACACTGAACTTTGTTGGAAAAAATGCATGAAGATATGCGCTTACACACCTCATTCATCGATTAGCTTGGCATTGGTTCAACAAGAAATGGCTTAAAAGTGAGCAACACACCAATACCATCAATTACAATGAGGGCAAAGAATGTCATTTGAGTGCCTACATATAGTAAGATTTTAAAAAATATGTTTAGGTTAACACTTCAATTCACCTAATGTTATGGAGTAAAAAAATATGATCAACAGATCTACAATTCTACATTAATGTGTGTGTGTGTGGTGGGGGGGGGGGGGGGTTGGCTCTGCCCTTAATCCGGATTTTTTTCTTTCAATGTATCCAAAAGATAGGTTAATTATTATTTGAAGATCTAGAAGATATATTTTCTATGAAAGACTTAAATGATCGAAACCTATTTAGAAATTATCACTTCGAGAATCAAATATCTTAAATCTTAAATTTAGATATATATTTCTTAATTGACTTAATTAAATATTCTTTATTTTGTTGGTGTGTGGATATATATTCGTGAAGTTACTTTATTGGAAGTTAAGATAAACAGATAAAAACGCAAAAACGAAATTAGTTCATGAAAATTTAGGTTTTGGATTGAGAGTTTTCAATCATTTGAATTTTTTAGATTTTTGGTTGATAATAATTGATTATCCACAATGGAAAAATGGTCAAATAATCTTTGTACTATGACAAAAAGGTCAAGTAGGCCCTCATACTAATAGATAACTCAATCTAACCTTTCAATCATAAATAAGTGGATTTTACACCTTCCTTTTTTATCTAGCTTTGAGTTTCTCTCGTTTTTCCTTCTCTCTCCCCTTGGCTTTTTCTTCCCCACCCCCCAACCCGCAACACCGTGTTCGTTTTCTTTGCTTACCCCTTTCCTTTTACTTCTTCCACTTTTTCTTCTTACACCCCACCCGACCCGAAGCAGCTGGCCATTTCTTCTTCTTCTACGGAACTTCCGTTGGCTGACCATGGATGCCACGCCGGCGACAATATGCACGGTTTCCTCATCTTCTGCTTCTCCATTCATCTACTTCTCTCCCTATTTTCCGTTGCTGCGAAAAATGGTCAACGCCGGCGTGGTGGCTGCTGCGAAGTCACCGGAAGTCATGGGTCATCCGAGTCATTGAAGGCTCAACCGAGTCTGCAAGTTTTTCGGTGACTTGGTCTCGGTGTTCATCAACCGAGTCTTCAGTCACTCTTTCATTCTTTCTCTGTTTGTCCACAAAGAAAGAAGAAAAAGGGGAAAAACATATGCTGGGTTGGGTGCTTGTACGGAAGATGAAAGCCAAGCATAGAGAGATAGAAAAAAAGAAAGAAGGAAAAGAAAATGGGAAAAAAGTGTAAACTATGTCATGTGGATCGCCATATGTGCAAATTGACCTATATTAAGGGGTTGTTTAATGCTACTAACTAAACTAGGTGTTTCTAGGGTTTGATTGTGTCTCTTGCTAATACGAGGGCCTAATTGATTTTCTGTCGGAGATCTGTTTGTTAGTTTTCCCAAAAATAACCTTTATTATAAAAAATATGTGAATGGTTTTATTTCAAACCTTGAATGATTGAATAACAATCAAAAGTACTATGCATTGTCGATAAAGAATGAACTACCACTAGTGCAAAATATGTATTCTATAACTAGGTTTTAATATGGTTCAATTAGAACCGTTATAGTATGTAGGAGCGGGATCATATTTATAAATAATGAAAGTTCGAATAAGTTGAGCGGGTATCTTTCATAAATAAAAAAACATTATTCATATGGGACATTAAAAAACCGACATGAATTAGAAAAACGGGGCCATTTTTCTAATTTCCGAAAACTTTAATTTAGAGATGGGGTATATTTTATAAATTAAAAAATTACTTTTCAATGTCAGTTGTGTGTAACCCTTATCAAAAGTTCTAAAATTAAAAGCCCAGCAACCCAGCCAAAAACCCTCCCAAATAATCGCCCAAATTAAAAACCCTCCCAATCTACGCGGACGAAAGAGAGCTGCTCCCAATCTATGCTCAATCGCTGCTCCCTCCGGACGAAAGAGACTACGCGGCTGAAGAGAGCGGCTGAAGGCGACGCGGCTGAAGACGAGAGGCTGAAGGCGGCGCGGGCAAAGGCGAGCGGCTGAAGGCGAGCGGCTGAAGGCGACGCGGCTGCTGCAGTTCCTCGCTCGTTTTCTTCTTCCCATCAGCAAATCCACGATTGCCCTGCTCCACTCCAGGTATGTCCACGCCAGGTATCATTCCCGTGTCTAATTATAATGCAGTAGTGTTCAATTATTATCGTATTTTCTTTTTTATGAAAAGCAGATTACTTGTAGAAAAAAAATGAATCTGTAAAAAAATGAAAATGACTTGAAAATATAATAGTTCAAATAAAAAGTTTGGTGGAAATGCGAGAATTTGCTCTTCGTGAAAATGATTATGTATTTGGCAGCCACAAGTTTGGTGGAAATGCATAGTCAATCACAAAAAGTTTACGGTAGAAGAGTTAGAGGGGACTACATTGTAACCCCAGGTGTGGAGAGTTCAATGATTATGTATTTGGCAGCCACAAGTTTGATTTTCTATTAATCTTCAAGAACTACATAGTAACCCCAGGTGTGGAGAGCTTCCTGGTTATTTTTGAGCACGCGAAGTTTTTGTTGCACCGCTCATAACCTCTTGACGGACGCTAGCACTAAAAAATTTCATGACTGCATATATTGGTCACTAACTATGTGGTACACCTAGTTTTACCTTTGCCATGGTGAATAATCGGATGACATTTTTGAAAAAAAAAATGAATGTCCAGTCGCTGGAATATGTTTAGTTTTAATTGTGGTTATTACAATTGAGGAAGCTTTGAACTTGTTTGTTAGGAGTACGTGTATTTTGTATTACATAATAATAATACAACCCTTATTTGATATAATCATGTTATGATCAAGATCACCAACAATACAATCAGGACTCAGGAGGGGCTCAAAACCAACAAGACTGATCAGGCAAAGAACACGCTGTTTTTGCTTTTGATAAAAACATAAACTCAGATCATTCCAAAAAACTTGCTTGAATCATTCTAATATCCTCCATGATCATTCCAAAAGCATTCAATGAACCTCCGTCCCTTATCTCAGAAATTGATTGAAGAAACTCAGACTCAACATCAATGGAATCCCAACCGTAACTCAACGCCAACCATAATGCTTTCCGAATCCCAAAAATCTCAGCTTCTCGGAGCATACATTTCCCTAGTAGCTTGGTTGATCCTCCAACTATGAAACTACAAGCTAAATCACGAAGAACCCAGCCCAACCCCAGCATTCTCCTTTATCTGCAGCATCAATATTGAGTTTAAAGCGACCTGCTATAGAAGCTGTCCACCCAGACCAAACCTGCTGCATATTTTCCGCAATGCTCCCTCGTTTTCTAAACTGCTGCCATGCCAAACAGTAGCCTTTAACACTCCCTAATATAGATTTAGAATTAGGAAAAAGATTCTGCCGCACCCTTTCATTTATGGCTGGCCATTAGGAAAACACACAAAGTCAAGGTGGATTATGTGCCTAAAGATAAAAACTTACATGAAATGATGTTCTATCACTTTTATGTAAACAACCACTTACTTTCTAAAAAAAATACATTGTAAAACAAGTTGAAAAAAGTTCAGGAACAAACACTTACCTAAGGTGCAATTTAGAAAAAAAATTATAAAACCCTACAAACAAAAATGAGAACCATTTTAATGATCATTCTTTTCACACAATGATTTTTTTATAAAAAAGAGGTGGGTCAATACAAATCATTTCAACCAAAACAACACTATTGTGAATTGAAGGAGTATACAAAAGTGTGCAGTTTTTTAAGGCAGAATATTTTAAAGTTGAAGGATTTGCAGTTTCCTTAAAGTACTATATGAGCACTACGTAAGGTGTTTACCGATTCAATCACATCTAAAATGCATTTAACTGCCAACAGAACACTGGTTACAACACTAGTTACACTACAACATGTCAACATTAAACCGTTCAACACTAAAACATTAAAATATTAAATAGAAAGATTTTAAAGCAATTAATTAATACAACCTACTGGAGCAATGAAATAAAGAAACACGGAATACAAAACATTAAAATATTAAACATAAAGATTTTTAAAGAAATTAAGTAATACAAATTAAATAAATAAACACATATCATGAGGTGTTGTTAACTTCAACATTTAGGAAATATCCTATACTTACATGTTTGGTTACATATGGTGCAGACATTAAGGTCATTATGGATCGTAGTTGGATCAACTGTAGACGAACAAGTGATGAGTATGAGAATGGCGTGGAATCTTTTATTCAGTTTGCTAAAACAAATCTTCCCTATAATGATGGAAAGTTTCATTGTCCTTGTGTTAATTGCCTGAATGGGAGACGACTAGACGTTGAGTTGATAAGAGAGCATGTACTATGTGACGGTTTTTGTAAAAATTACAACGTATGGATATGGCATGGCGAGCGATTAAATGTGACTAATACATCGTCTCATAGAGAAGAAGTTTCCAAAGCAGATAATGGTGATCATTTAGAAGACATGATACGTGATATTGGTGAGGAAGCCTTTAAGCGGTCATATGTGTATGATACGCTATGTGTTGATTCAGAAAAGCCTTTGTATCCTGGGTGCACCAAGTACACACGGTTGTCAGTAGTGTTGAAATTGTTCAATTTGAAAGCAAAGTATGGTTGGAGTGATAAAAGTTTCACTGAATTACTTATTTTGCTAAAAGATATGCTGCCTGAAGGAAATACATTGCCGAACCGCAACTATGAGGCAAAGAAGATATTATGTCCTTTAGGTATGGAGTATAAAAAGATACATGCATGTCCTAACGATTGTATACTGTATTGGAAGGAGTTTGAAGAGTTGCATAAGTGTCCAAGATGTGGGTTATCACGCTATAAATTGAAGGACAATGATCCAAGTTCCGATGATAACTATACAAGCGGTCCTCCTGCGAAAGTGTTATGGTATCTTCCGATAATACCAAGGTTGAAGAGACTATTCAGTAACCCGGTAGAAGCAAAAAACATTAGATGGCATGCTGATGAGAGAAAACGTGATGGGATGATTCGCCATCCAGCAGATTCTATTCAATGGAAGAAAATAGATAAATTATTTCCCGCCTTTGGGGATGAGCCAAGAAACCTTAGGTTTGGATTAGCTACAGATGGAACGAATCCATATGGTAAATTAAGTAGCATTCATAGTTCATGGCCTGTTCTCTTGATAATTTACAACTTATCTCCTTGGTTGTGCATGAAGCGCAAATACATGATGTTATCTTTGTTGATTTCTGGTCCTAAACAACCTGGTAATGACATAGATGTTTACCTACGTCCCCTTATTGAGGATTTGAAGAAATTGTGGGAGGAAGGCGTTGATGTTTTTGATGGATATCGCAGGGAAATGTTCAACATGCGTGCCATGGTTTTTTGTACCATAAATGACTTTCCTGCATACGGGAATCTTGCTGGTTATACTACCAAAGGACATAAAGCATGTCCAATATGTGAAGAAGGAACATGCTACCATCAACTTCCACATGGAAGAAAAACTGTATATCTTGCGCACCGAAGGTTTCTCAAAAGGGACCATCCATATCGTCGATTGAAGAAAGCTTTCAATGGATGCAACGAGAATAGATGCTCCCCATTGCCCTTGACAGGAGAGCAAGTATATCAAAAAGTGAAGGATATCAATGTTGTGTTCGGGAAATCAAAAAAAAAAATTGTTGATACACACATATGGAAGAAGATGTCAATATTTTTTGATCTTCCTTATTGGCGCAATCTCGATGTGAGACATTGCATTGATGTGATGCACGTAGAAAAAAATGTGTGTGACAGTACAATTGGGACACTTCTAAACATTCCTGGAAAGACAAAAGATGGTTTGAATTCTCATCTTGATCTTGTAGAAATGGGTATACGAGAGGAGCTAGCTCCGAAGGCACACGGTAAGCGTATGTATCTGCCTCCAGCATGTCATACCTTGTCTAAGAAAGAGAAAACAAGCTTTTGTGCGTGTTTGCGTGGTATCAAAGTACCATATGGTTATTGTTCTAATGTTAGAAGTTACGTTTCCATGAAAGATTTGAAACTGGTTGGTTTAAAATCTCATGATTGTCATGTCCTAATGCAACAACTTTTACTGGTAGCTATTCGTGGCATTTTGCCAGAGAAGTTTAGTGACGAGCACTTTTGTCAAGGTGCGTCAAAATAAATTCAATACTAAACACTTATACGTAGTATAGTGTAGTAGAGTTCGTATCCACAGGGAAAGGTATAATTCTCTTTCTATGAACTTAATGAATAAAAAGGGGGGTTTTGGTTTGAGTGATTTAGTTTAATTAAAAACTAAGATGAACAACCTATATGTGTTTAATTCAAGAATAAAAGGGACTTGGCTTTGCTACTTTCCACTTGTTGATATATTTTAGTCGATCCTTGTTATATCTATAACTTATCCCCTCTCGAATACTCAATCGAGGAGTATCTCCAATTCATCGAGGGTAGTTATTAACAACGACCGTTCATTAATAACCCTTACTATTAAGCAAGTATAGAACAACGCCTTATACCGATATAATAGTAGCATTCAATCTTTTTAACTCCTTGATGAAATCAATTGAGATTGATAACCTTAACACAACAGTTTCGGTTTAACCAACAAAATTGATCCCTCTTAAGTCTATTAACCACGATCGTGCATTAATAAACCGAAGTTACTTACTTGTGAAACCACCAAC